ACCAAGAGCACTTCTATTTGTTCAGTAAGTCTTTATTGAGCACCTAGTATATGCCCAGCACTGAGGAGGCAAGGGAGCAGCAAACAGGTAAGATCTGTTTTCCTGGAACTGACAGATAAGAGACTGTATACAGGTAAATAAAATGGCGAGTATGATAAGAGTTCCACAGGAAATAGCACATAGTGATTAACACTCTGGGAGCAACTGTAGATGGGAGTAGTTAGACAAGGCTTCTCTAAGCAAGTGAGACCAGTAGGGTGAGGAGGAACTAGTTGTGCCAAAGCTGGAGACGGAACAAGAATGGGATGTGCAAAGGCCCTGAGGTGGGAAAGGGACTAGCTGGAATTTAGTGGGCAGGAGGCAGGTTGGTGGGATAGGCAGGGCCTTGACAGGAATGAGAAAAAGCAGAACTCCTTTATCCTAAACCCTATGGGAAGCCACTGAAGGGACCGAATGACATGAATGATATTTTAAGCAGCACAGGGAAAGAGCTTAGCCTTGCAAATATTGAGGAGGGAGGACTGTTCTTCAGACAGGAGGAAAAAGAGATGCTCTTTTCTCTTATTTGAGTGAGGGGGAGTTGGGCAGTCCTGGTGAGCCTTTCTGTTGCCGAGCCCCACGGGGGTCCTATCACATACACAGATTGCCTCGTGCCTCCTTTGGTCACTGCAGTGACTCGCCACCCATTTACCACCCCCGAGATTCTTGTCTGAATCTCTTCTTTGCCATGCCTTCTTCTTGCTTTAGAGTTCAACTGCTAATTCCTCCAGGGAAGAGGGAGTAAATAAAGTTTCTAGAACTTTACAAAGCCTGATCAGTCTCAGTTCCTGATCTAGCTTATAGTTCCTGAGTCTCTCTGAAGAGATCAATGGAAACTTATCCTTCCTACCCATCGCTATGTAACAAACCACCCAAAAACTTACTGGCTTAAAACAACGACAACATTTATTTTGCTTATGAATTTGTAATCTGTGTAAGGTTCAGTAAAGACGACTCACCTCTGCTTCACTTGGCCTCTGTTGGGGTGGCTTGAAAGATGGGGGGCTGGAATCATCTGGAGGCTGCTTCCATTCATGGCTGATGCCTGCTGTCGGCTGGGCCTTAGCTAGACTGTTGGCCAGAACACCTTCATGTGGCCTCTACGCGTAGCCTGGGCTTCCTCACAACACTTCCAAGGGCGAGTGTCCCAGGGAAAGAGTCAGGTGAAAGCTATATCGTGTTTTATGGCCTAAACTCAGAAGTCACGCAGCATCATTTCCACTGTGTTCTATTTATTAGAAGTAAGTTACTGAGGGAGTGGAAGCAGACTCTTCCTTTAAATGGGAGAAGTATCAAGGAATTTGTAGACATGTTTATAAACCACCATATGCTTGAACGAGCCGGGGCTGGGATTCTGCCTTTATTCATTTGTTGGGTGGAGGGTGGGAGCCTCACTTTTCCTCTCCTTTAAACTCTTCCTTGGGGATCCAGGAGGAGGGTTAAGCCTGGGGATATAGTCAAGAAAGAGCAGCTATTCACGTTCTTGAATCAGACTCACGTAGATTTCAATCCTGTCTCTGCCATTTACCAGCTTGATGTTTTTGGGTAAGTCACTTCACCTTGGGTAAGCCTCATCTTCTTAATCTGTAAAATCACAGTATCCTCCTCATGGGGTCATTATAAGGATTGAGTTAATAGATGGGTTACATAATACATGTTCAGAGCAGTGGCTAGTTCATAGTAAATACTCCGTGGCTAGCTATTACTGATATGATTATTCAAAATATGTTTATTAATATTCAATTCATGCTTCGGTGAGTTCTAGCCCAGAACTGGGCTAGATGCTAGCTGCTGGAATTATGAAAATGAGCACGAAGGGGGTTCAAGCTTCTAGGAACCTACAGCTCGGGGGGGATATGTTTGTTTTGTTTTTGTTTTTGTTTTTAAGAAATCTCTACACCCAACATGGGGTTTGAACCCATGACCTCGAGATCAAGCGTTGCACACTCACGGACTGAGCCAGCCAGGCACCCCTGGGATATGTTTTAAGCATGTAGGCAGAGTCCAGGCTTTGGAGTCAGCCAGACCTGGTTCTCATTCTGAGTTCGTCCGTAGTTTCTAGCTGTGGGACTTTGGACCAGTCTTTCACTTTCTCAGCCATAGTTTTCTCAGTTGAAAATGAGAATTACAAAAGTACCTGCCTCACTGGGGTTCTGGTGAGGATCAAATACAATAATCTACATAAAAAGCTTAGCATAATTCTTGGAACATGGTAATTACTTAATACATGTTAATTATTAATTTTGTGTATCAGGAAGTAGGCTAATGAAGTACAAGGTGAAGAATGCTGTACTAAATGGGGCATACAACCTGTTAAAGGAGTCCAGAAGAAGAGATTAACTTTGCCAGGAAGAATCTCGGAAAGCCCTGAAGAGGTAATGTTGGAACTGCACTTTGAAGAGTTTCCCGGTTGTGAATGAGGAAAGAGGAGGTATTCCAGGAGGCGGGAAGCAGATCTACAAAAGCATGAGGTAACAGAAGGCGTTGACATGTTTGGAGGAAGGTGATAAATTCAGTTTGGGAGTTTAAGGTGTTGTTATGGCGGGAAGGAGGCTGGAAAAGAAAGTTCAGGTCAAAGCATTGGCTCACGTGGGAGAAACTGCCATCTGTAAGCTGGGGGGATTCTGTAGAGGGTGGAGAAAAGCCAGTGGCTGGGCTGGAGAGAGGTTTTATAGGTGGAACAGATAGGCTTAGGGGTAGATTTTATATGTGCATGTGGGGGAGGGCAGTGAGGGAAACGATGGCCATCTGCTGAGGAGTCAGGGGAAGAGGCCAGGGTTTGAGTGGGTGGAACAAAGCTATGGGATGGGGAGTCCAAAAACCTGGCTCCAAACCCACCTGGTATACCTCTGAGTACCTCTGTGACCTTGAGAACATCACACTATTTTGTCCTCAGTTTCCTATTGGTAAATAATATGGCTTCTTCTATTTGCTACACGTAATTATTGTGAAAAAGAAGAGAAGTAATGAGTCCGTAGGTGCTTTGTATGCAGTAAATAATGCAACAAATATCAGACCCATCAGTCAACTGCATGGAATAGTACAGCTAAAGCAGAGTTTAGGTGAGATGGAAGGTAAGGGTATCTGTTCTGTGGTGAAATAAACACAGTGATTGATAACACACACAAACATGCACATCAGATAAATTCAGTAATTTCCATACTGGGCTGGGTCTACAGGAGGGCAATGGGTAACTCAATTCCACCATCAGCAACTTTACCACTTGTGCTTGTAGGTGTTCTCACCTCTCACTTGGATTATTTAAGGTGGTCCTAAGATCCAAATCGGGAGTCTTTGGCTGGGCTTCAGGTATCTGGGCAGCCATCAGAATTTGTGCGTAAAAGTCATGCTGTGTATTTTGGGGGCTAGAATCCATAGTCTCCAGCAGACTCTCAGAAGGATCTGTAATGCTCCCCCCCTCCCCAAAGGTTAAGAGTCATTGATTTTCTCATCAGAAATTAAGAATAACCATTCTTGGGGTGAAGAACTGGTGGCAGAAGGCAACAGATGTTCATTTTTAATTTTTGAATTTCCTGAACTGTATGATTTTTTGAACCATGAACATGTTTCATTAAAACACGAAATGAAAAGTTTCACTGAAAAAAACTTATCGGGGGTTATCTTATCTGGATGGTGCCATAACCATCTTTCATCTTTACACCTTTTTGTATTAAACACAATAAGTACGAATATTAATAGCTGTGATTTAAAAAAATCCTGATAGGGGAGTCTGGGTGGCTCAGTCAGTTAAGCATCCTCCTTCAGCTCATGTCATGATCTCACAGCTGGAGAGTTCAAGCCCCGCATGGGGCTCTGTGCTGACAGCTCAGAGCCTGGAGCCTGCTTCAGGTTCTGTCTCCTTCTCTCTCTGCCCCTTCCTTGCTCGCGCTCTCTCTCTCAAAAATAAATGAACACTAAAAAAAATTTTTTTTTAAGGAAAAAACCCTGATAGTGACAGCACGTGCGCATGGGCGCACACACACACACACACACACACACACACACACACACACCATTCCATTATGCAAAGTACATCCCCTATTTTGTAAGATAAAATGTCTGTATTTCCTATAAACTACTGGCTTCGATGCAGTAAAACTTGGATTTGAAATAGACGGGACGAAAAAGAAAAAGACAGGCAATTTCAAGTATTTCAGCTCAGACCTATAAAAATAATGTGTACATGTGTCAATCCTCTTATGCACTGTCGTCTGCCTTCTTGTGAACCCGCCAATGTGCGAGCCGTTGGCGTTTGATGCTTGAAGCGGCGGAACGGAGGGCAGGGTTAAATCCACTACCCTCTCCCCACGCACTCTAGTAATTACTCTATTTCCACGTCATGTTTCCGGGTGTGTGTGTCCCGACTCACGCAGAAACTGAAGTTCAAAGCAGGCGGGAGTCACCCATGTTCTTTTTGCTGTCCCCAGAAACCCAGTTCAGGCGTTGGGCCCCCTGAGGATCTGGCGATACCTGGGGATTGTCTAACTGGTTGATTCCCACGTGGTAAGTGGCTCGCAACCTCGCCCCCACGTGGAGGCAAGAGCTGGGAAAAGGGAGAGCGGGCAGAAGAGAGCCGCATCAGGGGCATTTAAAGTGTCCTGACGTCACGCATTGCCAGGAACTCAGCTGAGTTTTCAGCAGGACATTCCGGTCATTTTCCCTCCCTCCCCCCGGGTTTCTGTGCCCAAGGCCGCGGCTCCCTCTCCGCTGTAGCGGAGGGAGGAGCACTAAGCGCTCGGAACAGCCATAACTGGGGCGTTCCCAGTCTACTCTTGGCTCCGCCCTTCCACCCCAGAGGCTCTCCTCATTGGTTAGCGGGTGGGGCTTCGGGTGTACTGTACTTGCACCAGTGCCTCTGGGTGGCCGGGAAAACTGGCCGTCTCATGAATTATGCAGAAGCGGCGTGTCTGTGCCAGGCTGGGGCTAGGCGGGGATTGGTTGGAGAGGCTGTAATTCAGCGGTTTCCGGAGCTGCGGCGGCGTAGACGGGGAGGGGGAGTTTGGGGTTCCGACGTCGCCGCGGAGCGAGCAAGCCCGAACCGGATCCTTGACGAGCACCCCTGCTCGGCGCTGTCTCTCCACGTCTGCTAGGAGAGGCCCGGCGGCCTGAGTGAACCTCGCGACCCACATTCCGGCGCAAGCGCAGCCCCGGCCTATCGGGCCTGAGCCCGAGAAACAGGTGAAGGGGGTGAAGGGTGGGGCCGCCCCCCCCGACGGCCCCCAGGTCTGGGGATCCCGGAGGGCGCCGGAGGGGCCGGGAGCCTCTGCAGTGTTTGGGGGAGTTGTGGATGCGAACTTCAGTGGGGCGGGGGGAAATACGTGGAGATTCGAGGGTCGCTCAGAAGGGACAACTCCCGGGATGACAGGAGCGGGCCTCTGAAAGGACAGGGGGCGCTGGGAGGAAGTTTCGTTCTTTGGAGAAAGGGCTGACGCCGAGGAAGAGAGAATGGGCTCGAGGGGAGAACAGTGGGGCGAGGGCACTCTAGGGTGGGGGTGGCAGAAGTGAGGGACAGCCCCCCGACTTCCTGCTCCCTGGGGCTCTGGGGACGTTCCGGCCACAGGAGCAACTGTCACGCCTGCAGAGATCATGGGCGGGGGCGGGGGGGCTGTTGGAAAGAGCTTTCTCCCCGCTCCCCAACGCGCCCGGTGGCTCCCAGCTGAGCCAATTCCTCGGCCTTGCCCTGTTCCCTCTCCTCTGGGAACCAGCTGTACCCCTCTAGAGGTACAAATAGGTGTCTTCCCCCCACGGCCCCGCTGGCTGTGGGTAAGATTATTGCATAAGAATCAAGTTTCCTGTAGGGAAATTGACAGTCTTGTACTCTTTTTAAATTCCCTCCCGTCTTTTTTTCTAGGTTAAACCCTGCTTCCCTCCTCCCCTTCCAAAAACAAAGTCTCTATCAAGCCAGTTCTAGAAAGAAATAAACCTCTTTCCTTCTTGACATTGTTCTTTTATAAACACCTGGTAAACTTGGCCATAAGATAAATAATTGAGCCCTTGCGTTTACTGGATTGTGGTGTTGCTTAATTGCATAGGACAGAATGAACCAATCGAGAGTGGGAGTTTTCTGTCTTAGAGCCAAGATCTTGAGTAAACGCAGAGGGAAACAAAGACAGGCTGGACTTGGCAAAGCCATGTGTGCAAACTTTACCTGTGATTGGGAGGTGTGGTTGGGCTTAAGTTAGCAAAATTCAAACCGTCATCCAAGTTGCTTTTTCCATGTTTAGCGTACATCTCTCTGTGTTATATCAAGTGGGTGTATGGTATTGACACACTTTTTTTTAAATTAAAAATGTGCATAATGTGTACCTGCTGGTTTTTATCATGTGTGCATCTGCAGGCTATGTTCTGGGTATGGGTTGCAACTTTTTGGCTTGGCTGTGCTGGTAAACCATTGGTTTGAATAAATCAGAACTATAAATCATCTCAGTCTTTTATATGTGGATTTAGACTGTGTTATGACTTGATTCAGCCAAGTTTCTGTTTTATTTTATATTAAATATGTCTGTGTTCCCTGAGTCAACACATTTATTTCCTTGTTACATGTGCCAGACTGGAATCCTAGCAGAATTTTTGCTCAGACATTTGCATAGTGGGATGGGAGAAAGAAGTCTGGAATACAAAAAAAAAAAAAAAAAATGTTGTAGATATTGGAGGGTTGATCTTAAAGTCACTATATTTGTTAGCATATCCGGCACAGGGAACCACCAGCAAATTCATGAATCTTCTATTTCTGTATATAGTACTTTTGGGGAGAGTACTTAGAACTATCCACAGCTATGACTTGCCATGCAAGGGGTAGGTTGTTCACATGACATTAATCTCATTTTATAGATAAGGAAACTGAGGCTAAAGGAACAAGGTGGGTGCCCAAGGCAGCAGAGTGCCATAGTGGTAGAACTTGTCCTTAAGTATATTTTGTATTATTTTGATTATCTATGTTAAGTATTAGGTCTTTTTTGTTTTATTGCACCCCTATGTTTATTGCAGCACTATTTATAATAGCCAAGATAGGGAAGCAGCCCAAGTCACCATTGACAGATGAACTGACAAGATGTGTTACAGTTGTACACAATGGAATATTAGTCAACCATAAAAGAGAAAGTATTAGGTCTTAATTTATAGTGATTGTAGGCCCTGCTGGGAAAAGTGTCACTGAAATGCTAACATATATCTGGACAGGGAAATACCACGAATAGGCTATAAGACTCCAAGGGAGATAGCCAACAAACAGGTGGAAAAAGAAGTACAAGTAGGTTTTGTTTAGGTTATTTTTCCATCTGCTGCATCTGAGTCTGACTTGGGAAGTAACTTTTTAGTTAGCATAATTATCATCAGAATAAATAGCTAAGCTATTTGCTAATGGGAAGAGATCCTTATTTAGGCAAGTTTGTAGGTAAAGGATAGTGGTGACCTAAAATGCCGTTTGATCCAGAGTGCCTTGTGGCTTGATCAGTGATCATTTGTGTCTCCAGAAAGTTGCTTTCTCCCCCTCCCCGCCTCTGCTTGTCTTGACTTTCAGATATGAGTTGGGGCAGACGTAGTGCATTCCAGATGCTGAGTCTATAGCACCTTTTTACCTTACAGTTTCCTCAGAGGTGGTGTACAGATTCACCAGATATTTACTTTTTGCAATGCAAAGTTGCTATGAAGAATCAGAGGCTTTGTTCACAGAACTTGCAGTCCGCTGAGGGGATGTGATAAATGCTTTATCCAGACAGTGCAGCATGTCCTCAAAGAGCTGGTGAGACATTAAACCTGTACTGTCCAACAAGGTAGCTATTATATATTTAAAAAAATGTGTGTATATGTGTGTGTGTGTGTGTGTGTGTGTGTGTGTGTGTGTGTATACATATATATATGGCACAGCTAGAGAATATTTCCATTATCTTGGAAAGTTCTATTAGACAGTGCTGCACTAAGCACTACAGGTCTTCAGAGGACGGAAAGATTATGAGGCCTGGAGTGGTCTGGGAAGTCTTCTTGCCAAAGGAGAGATTTGATCTGGGTCCCAAATAATGGTTGGAATTTGATAGGGATAAAGAATTTAGGGTGAGGAGGTATGGTGATACAACACCAACAAAATCCTGATAGATGAGTGAGGTAAGTAGGGGAGGAGTATCCACTCACCAGAGGCCTTGAATGCCAGACCATGGAAGTTGTTTTTGTCCTTTTAAAGATTTTTGAGGCCAACTATTGGTGTTTAATTGTGGAGTGCCTACTATGTGTCAAGCACATGCCTGGCATTGGTTAATTTGTACAAAGTATATCAGCGCACACGGCTTCTGCCCTGGGGGAGCTGTCGTTGGGCCTGACCTTATAAATTGGGCCAGCTCCCAAAGAGAGGTGTTCTGACTTACCAGATTCATGTTCTTCAGTGCAGAAGTGTCTTTTAGGGTTTTTAATTGGCTACAAATGACCATTCACATTTTATGTCTTCCATAAGACATAAAACATTCCATATAATGTCCATAAGACATTCCATATTTACTATACAATTTTACTGTAACTTTTAAGTCATTCATAAAAACCACCAGAAGAACACTTAGGGACATCCCCAGATCTTGAAGAAGTCCTGGTGTCCTGGAGCAGCCTTGGTGAGGTCCAGCAGGATGACATTGCTGGGTTGTTTCAGTCTTTGTTGGTTATGATGAAAAGAACGAATCTCATGGTTACACATCTGTCAGTACGAACCTTGGCTTGCTAGGGCACACTTCAGGATGGTCAGATGGGACTTTAGTGGTCAGCTGTTTGAAAGGTCTCTAGTTTTTAAAAGGAATAGCATATGGAAGAATGAATTTCTGTTCTGCTCAGTTCTCATTTATCATGTTAGGATTACTGCAGATCTTAGGTGAGATTGGCAAACGGTTCTGTTTTATTTTAATTAATTTATTATCGGCAAGTATTTTATATTGAGAGCCAATTATTGTGCTAGGCGGCATCCAAGGGTGATGAAATACAGTTTCACAGAACTGGAGGTGCTGTGTGGACCAGGGTGTGTGCTGCTTCAGTGTGGACTCAGGGCAGGGGAGATGGCAGGGTAGTGGTTCAAGGCGCGTGCTCTGGAGCCAAACAGGTCTGGGATCAGATCCCGGACCTGCTACATCCTAGTCAGAACCTGAGTCTCAGTGGTCTTAGGTGTAAAAGTAGAGAACAGTGCCTATCTCCCAGGCCTGTTGAAGATTTGATGAGATAATGTAGGTAAAATGCTTAGCGTAATGCTTGGCACGTTGTAAGAACTCCATAAATCTTTTTTTTTCCCTCTTTTTTTAAAGTAATCTCTATGCCCAGCATGGTGCTTGAACTCACAACCCTGAGATCAAGAGTTTCCTCCTCTACCAACTGAGCCAGCCAGGTGCCCCACGAACTCCATAAATCTAAGTCCTTATTAAATGTCCCAGAAGAGAGATTAATTCTCTTCAGGGATGAGAAAAAGGCTCTATCACAGAGGGGCTCTGTCAGGTTGGAATACCTATGAATAGGGTTTTGTAGGATGAATAGGAATTCTCCTGACAAAGTTGAGTAATGAACAGTTGTATTCAAGGCCAGGGAATGAGAATGGGCAGAAGCTTAAAACAGCATAGGGTGTCCAGGGAGCTACAAGCGGAAGTTATTAATTTAGGAGAACAGAACGGAGGGGAAAGGAAGCTGTTACCCCTTCTCTTCTGTTCATTATTGGCTTCATGTTTCATTAAACTGAATTGTTTTGTCCTGCTTACAAAAGAACAGTATGCTATTATAAGCAATTTAAATTTGTAGAAAAATAAACTATGTGTATCTTATATATATCCTGTTAATAGTTTGGTCTGCATTTCTCCTGGTTTTTTCTTTTTCTACTTACCAGTATATCTTGGACATATTTATTGCAAATTTCTTTTTAATCACCTAATGAAAGAACAATAAGGAAGGCAATCTGCCCCCCCCCCCACTCCCAGTACAATAAGTAAAACACATCATCTGGCTTTTCTGTCTGCTACACCCATCCATAAGAATAAGTGTCTTTTCTAATCACTGAACTTTTACCTGACCTTTGATTTTTCAACTACATTGGACAAGGAACTTCTATTTTGAGCAGTCCTAAGGTAACTGTTCTTATAAGTGTAGAAATGCTTGGGCTGTGTGTTTCAGGGTTTCGTGGTCCAAAGTTGCTATAGGAGGTGAAAGAATGGGCTATGAGGTCAGACTCCTTGGGCTTCAATCCCAAATCCAGCACCTCTTAGACCATGGGTCAGTTGCTTTAACTTCTGTGGGCTTCAGTTTCTCTAGCCATAAAATACAGATACCAGGTTCCATTGTAGAGCAGTTGTGAGGATTAAGTAAGATAATGTATAGAAAGTACTTTGCACAGTGCCTGGCAGATAGCTAAAATGTGAGTGCTAATAATTAATATTATTAAAAACTGCAGTATCTACCTACAAAGTCGGGCAAGTTATGATTCATGGTAGCCATTAATAACCCAAAGGAAAGAAGGAGTAATTAGGAGATTCTAAGCTAATAGGAAAGAAACTGAATGAATAGGGACCAGGGGGATTTACATTGTGGTGGAGGAGATGGAGTCTGTCACGTAAAAGGAATAGGCAAACTGTAAATTTCTGTTTACACGAATGCCCCTGTGATAGGTCTCTTTGAGTCTTCCAAAGCCTATGATTGTGGTCCATTTATTTTAAGTAATACTCAACACATTAAAAATGTATTATCACTTAGGAATTTTAACAGTCCCTTGGAGTTCTTCCTAACACCAAAAGTACAGATAATGTTGAAGGTTTGAGGGGTAGAGGAGTCGGACAAGGAAGGTGGGGCAGCCCATGGTTTGGGGGTGTGGCGGAATCCCAAGTGGAATGAATGATCTGTCTGAGGCTGGGAGGTGATTTGTCCCTTTGCGTGCATGTGTGTGTGTGTGTGTGTGTGCACGCGCAAATGTAGTGTATGTGTGTGAGTGCGTATGTTTTCACGGGAGGAGTAGAGCTTTGTTTTCTTGTAACTTTCCTTTGCAAACGCATCTGTATTCAGAATAGCCTTGCGGTTAAGAAGAACCACTCAGCTTCTCCTTGAAACTGGTTTTCTCACACTAGCTCTCCAGTTTGGGATCCGAGAAGTCAGGAAAGAAAGGCCGCCCCGTTGCTTCTGGCCCGAATGTGGGGCAGGAGGAAGCCAGCAGAGCCTGAAAGAGAAAGTAAACTTTCTGGTAAATAAATGGCTTCCCTATTGTGGAGGAGGAGCACAAATTATTAGGGGGATATTTGGGTAGTTTTTGTAGAAGCCGTTTCTGAAAACTGATTTAGATTAGCGAAGGTGAGCTCAATTTAGGAAAACCCTGCCCGGTCTGGTGTTAACCACCTGTTTTCCCGCTTTGTCGATTGATTTTATTAGTTTTCGGTATCCTGACCTCCTGACCACTCATTCTGGTTATGAGAAATGGAGGATTTGAGTCTGAACTTGAGCACCTGCTTAGGTGAAATCTTCCTAAAATGCATGTTTTTTTCACATCTTTTCTAATGTTAATTTTGTTTTTGCTGTTTAGCAAACACTTTTTCTGACCAAACGGAAAGCATTACACTTTCCTTTGTTCTCCCTTTTTCTCCCCACCAGTGTAATCCTCAAAACCCCAAAGCCCAGATGTTAGCCGAGTAATTACCTCTCCGGTAAACCAAACAAAGTGCAATATTGCATCAGGTTAGCATTAAAATAGTCGGCCTTTGAATTTTTTTTCTACTTGTGGTTTAGACACGATAAATATTTAATCTTATTTTGTCTGACAAATCAGTTTTGTATTTGGGCCCCGTTTTATCAGTATGTTTAGGGAAAGCGAATTTATTGGAACTTTAACACAAATAAAGCATAGTTAGGGTGGTAACTGTCTTATGGATGGGGCGGGTGGAATAATTGAAGCATTCTGAAGCCATGTCAATATTTATCCTAAATTCTGTGTGTTATTTCCTTTTGTGTTTAAGTGCATAAATAAGGGTGGACTGTAAGTGGTTAGAAGCACGTGGGACACTTTAGGGTCCTAATAACTGTGTTGGAGAATACTGGGTTCATGGAGCCATCTAAAATCCCTGCTTCTCGGTGTACCACTGTGGTGCCACATGTCGATAGTGGGGGAGGATGTACCTGTTGGGGGACAGGAGGTTTATGGGAACTCTTTATTTTCTGCTCAGTTTTGCTTTGAATAAAATTGCTCAAAAAAGTAAAACTTATTAATTAATTTTTATTTATTTATTTTTTAATTTTGTAATGCTTCTTTATTTTGAGGGAGAGAGAGACAGTGTTGCGAGCAGGGGAGGGGCAGAGAGAGAAGGAGATACAAAATCGGAAGAAGGCTCCAGGCTCTGAGCTGTCAGCACAGAGCCCGATGCGGGGCTCAAACTCGGCAACCGCAAGATCATGACCTGAGCTGAAGTCGAACCCTTAACCGACTGAGCCACCCCAGGTGCCCCAGAGCTTATTAATTTAAAAAAAATCCTATTTCTGCAGAAATATCCCAAGGATCAGAAGTGCCCTCTATACAGCTGTGTGATGCCATAGACTCCTGCCTCAGTTTACCTTGAGATTTACAATGAGAGTACCATTCTTATATACCCAGTGAGAATATCTTCCAAGCAAGGGAGAATGAGGCTGCAGTTGGGGCAGAGAGAAGACCCACACACCATCCAGTCCGTGGATTTAACCACTTCCCCTTTCCCTAGGAAAGATGAATGCTAGTCTTAACCACAGATTTGCAGCAAGAACATAGCAGTCTTGTTTTTCGGTGCCCAGACTGCAGGTTTCTTTATGGTAAAAGCAATATTTTAGGGAAAAAAAGTTTAATCAGTACGAAAAGGTTTGTAGTTAGTGGAATTTTCTTTTCACCTTATCCTCTGAAATCTCTTTCCCAGGGACAGCTAGTTACCCACATCTAATTTTTGCACAGTAGCACATTATACACATAACTCTGTTTCTTACTTTTTGTCACTTTATCAAACACTGCATGTGAATGTGTTTATGTCTGCCTCATGTTTTTAAGACCTGCATAGTAGTATTCAGGCTGTGGATGTCATAATTTATTTAGTTTTTTTTGTTTTTTTTTTTTTTAAGGACAGTCTGCCCCTCAACATGGGACTCAAACTTAGGACACCAAGATCAAAAGTCACATGCTTTACAGGCTGAGCCAGCCAGGTGCCCCCCCTCCTTTTTAAAATATTTTTTTATTTTAATAATTTGTTTAATCTAATGATAGTCATAGATTGCAAAATATAAAGACAGAAAACCATATGGTGGGGGCACCTGGGTGGCTCAGTTGGTTAAGCATCTGACTTCGGCTCTGGTCATGATCTCATGGTTCCTGAGTTCGACCCCCACATTGGGCGGTCTGCTTTCAGCACAGAGCCCGTTTCAGATCCTCTGTCTCCCTCTCTCTCTGCCCTTCATCTGCTTACACACACACACACTCTCTCTTGCTCAAAATAAGCAAACATATAAAAAAAAGAAAAAAAATATTGTAAATATCCTCATATTTGTCTTCAGGCACATATGAATAAATCTGTACATCTGTACTTTAAATGTTTTAATCATTGTACGCATACTGTTTAGAAATGTAGCTTTTCTGTTAACAGAATGCAGATTCTTCTTCTGAAGCATTAATTCTATCTAGGGAGAAGCCTAGCTGTGTCACTAAATGAAACTCCAGTCTGTCACTTGGGCAGGTAGGAATATTGCAACTCCCCCACCCTCACGTTGTGCCTGCTGCCCACTCAATTTTTTTGAAAGCGTGTTGTTCATATACCTGTGATGCCAGAGCCCAGCTTCCATTAATTTCTACCATGCCAGGCCTAAAACACAACACACTCTTTTGTGTCCTTGGGGAAATGGGGACAGGAGCCGTTTTTTTTAGTTTTTGTATTGTTCCCTTGCAGGAGCTGCTCATTGATGTTTTTGTTTGAGTTGTCTATAGGGGCACTTCTCAGAGTGTGGTCCATAGATCTCCCGGGGGCGCCCGGCGGGCGATGGTGGGGGGGTGTCTTTGAGTTCAATTTCAAAGCCATTTACATAATGTTATTTGTGCCTTTTATTTAGTTGGCATTTACACTAGTTATTGTACTTAGTGCGCTCTCAGAAAGAAAAACTGACTTCACTTAAGAATGTCCATGATACAACAGTAAACAATATTAATTTCATTATCTTTCAACTGTGGAGAATGTGCCTTTTTGATACTCTGTGATGAAATGGGAGGCATGTATAAAAAACACTTCTGCTGGGTAAGGAAGTATGATGGTTGTCTCAAGGAAGAGCTCTTGTGGAAACATTTCAATTACACTCTCCAACTAGCTGCTTTTTTCATTTTTTCTTTGAAAGAATGACAGACCAACTGGGATATTGTTAGACAGTTTCTCAAAAAAGAAAGAAAAGAAGCTGTCTCTTCAAGGAAAACAACCGATAATGTTTGTTGCCAATGACAAAGTTTAAGCTTTCGAATGAAAATCAGAATTTGAGAAAATTTGCAAGAAAAATTGTGAGTTTGATGGCTTTCCCATATTAATGAATGTAATTTTTTTATGGTAAAACAAATGTGACTTTTTAATAGTTTTATTGTAATGAAATGTGTTGACATCTGGAAAGTCTATGTGTCTCTGAAATAGTGTTTTCCAAATGATTAATGCAGTACATTACTAAATCATGCTTGGGAAAACATTCTATTCAAAATGCAGGATAGACCAATGGATCTCAATGCAGCTGAGTATGAAAAGTTCATTGAAATCCAACAGAATTCAATCCACACTGCATTGAATCTTTAAGAAACTACCGTTTGCTGGGGCACATGGGTGGGCTCAGTTGGGTAAGCATCCAACTTTGGCTCAGATCATGATCTTGCAGTTCATGAGTTCAAGCCCTGCGTCAGGCTGTGCTGACAGCTCAGAGCCTGGAGCCTGCTTCAGATTCTGTGTCTCCGTCTCTCTCTGCCCCTCCCCTGCTTATGCTCTTTCTCTCCCTCTCCCCCAAATAAATAAACATTAAAAAGAAGGAAAGAAAGAAAGAAGGAAACTAACACTTGTTGGGGCACCTGAGTGGCTCGGCTGGTTGAGCGTCTAACTTTGGCTCAAGTTTGTATGATCTCACAGTTCATGGGTTCAAACCCCAAGTTGGGCTTCGCATTGATAGGGCGGAGCCTGCTTCTGGTTATCTGCCTTCCTCTCTCTCTGCCCCTCCCCTGCTAGCCTGTGCTCCTCGTTTTCTCTCTCTCTCTCAAAAATAAGTATACATTAAAAAAAAAAAAAAGAAAAGAAAAGAAACTACACTTGTTGAATTTGGGTGTGGTGTTAAGGAATATCCAAAATTATCTGAAAAGGCTATTAAGATACTCTCCTCCCTCTTCCAACTAGTGTGACGTCACATTTTCTTCATGTGCTTCAAAGCCACATACTGCAACCGATCGCATGCAATAGCAGATATGAGAATCCATCTGTCTTCTATTAAGCCAGGCATTAGAGAAATTTCCAAAACTTTTACAGTGTCACTCTTTCCACTAATTTTTGTTGTTGTTGTGTTGGAAAATAAAGTTATTTTTCATAGAAATGTTACTTATGTTAACATAAGTTTATTATTTTTAAAATGAGTTAATAAATATTTTTTAAATTTCTGTTTTAATTTCAAATACAGTAAGTACAGATAGGTGCAACCTTTGGGGTCCTTATTTTTAAGGATATAAAGGGGTCCTGAGAGCAAAAAGTTTGAAAACTGCTGGTCTAAAGATTTTAGCACAAGAACCCCCACCGTACTTGTTGTAAAAAAGAAAAAGAATACTCTATGATTTTGCCCCAGGGAGTCTGATTTACTAGATCTAAGGTCATTTTAACAGGCAGTCAGATATTCTGATGCAGGTGGTCCTTAGTTTGAGAAACGCCGCTTTAAAGGCCGATAAGCTGTAAAGTCTTCTTTCAGATTGGTGAAGTCATGTTACAGGGTTTAGAAATCGTTGTTGTTTTAGAGACAACGATAAACGATAGAACTGTAGTTTACTAAGAAAAAAAAAAGATTTCTTTCTTTCTCTCTTTTTATTTGTTTCTCTTCTTAAAGATTTTAAGTAATCTGTACACCCCATCCCCAAATCAAGAGTCCCATACTCTTGGTGCCTGGCTGGCTCAGTGGGAGGAGCATACCACCCTGGTTGTGAGTTTGAGCCCCATG